ATCAAAAAAAGTAACGGTGCGAGCACGGAGCCCTGTGGTACACCCGACAAGACCTGTAGGTTATCAGATTTAGAGCCATCACGTTCAACGAATTGAGAGCGGTTTTGTAGATAGGCCTGTATCCAACGAACCAGCCTATCAGGAAGTCCTGCCTCTTTCAATCTATCAATGAGCAGATTGTGAGGCACGCGATCGAACGCCTTAGATAGATCTAAAAAAATTGCGTCGATTTGGTGACGATTGTCCATCGCGGCTGCAAAATCGTGGACTACAGATATTAGCTGAGTCGTTGTGGAAACGTTTCTACGAAATCCGTGTTGGTTCTTGTCAAAAGAATTGGTCGACTCTAGGTAACGAGATATATGGTTAGCGATTATGTGCTCAAGTAACTTGCAACATGTGCTTATTAAAGAAATAGGTCTGTAATTTCCGGCGTCTAGTTTGTCACCTGATTTAAATACTGGAACTACTCTAGCCGTTAGCCAATCTGCTGGTAAGGAACATTGATTAAGTGAGGCACTGAAAAGCAAGTAAAGGTACTCGGAGACTATTTCCGAGTAGCGATGAAGAAAGGAATTAGGTATAGCATCAGCACCGCATGATTTCTTTACATTGATATTCAACAAAAGCGAAAATATGCCCTCATGACTGAGCACCACATCTGGCATTTTAACAGAAGCGGATGAAGAGGCATAATTGTCATTCTCAATCAAAAGGGAATCGGGTGTAGTAAACGCTCTGTGAAAACTGGCATTGAACTCATTTGCAATTTCTTTACCGTTAGTTGACACAATACCATTAATTCTTAGTTGTTCGACTCGTTCACTAGTATCAGATAGAAAACGCCAAAACTTTTGAGGTGATTCTAATAAAAAGGAAGTAAGAGTTTGCCCATAAAATTTATCACGTGCGATGCGTATTTTACTGAGTAATTCATCATTCAGGACGTTCAGCTCTGAGCTATTTTTATTTTTTGCCTTTCGTTTGCGTTTGACACGCCTCTTAAGGTGAATAATCTCACGGTTAATCCATGGATTGTGTTTTCTGATTGGTTTTCGACGGATCGGAACAAACTGATTTATGCAGGACGTGACGAGGCTTTTGAACGTTTCCCATAGAAGAGAGACGTCATCGATACGCTCAAAATTCGTGAAAGAAAAATGTAAACAATCAAGAACTGATTCATCGTCTGCAGCTGAAAAATCAATGAAAGTCTTAAGGGGGGGCGTTGGTGTTGTTTTTTTGATAAGCAAATTTAGATTTACCAGTTTGTGATCGGCGATTCCATTTGCGGTAGAGACTGTACAGTCACCGGGAAAATCTTTGATAAAAATAAGGTCTAGGATTGACTGAGTTGTCTCTGTGACTCGAGTGGGAGCAGTCAAGAAGCAGGCGTGCGCTCTCGACGTCATGATAGCCCGAGATAGCTAACGCATTCCAGTCAATCCCAGGTAGGTTAAAGTCGCCAGTGAGCACACATTTTTTATTAGGCGTGAGCATGCGATCAAGATAGTTTGCCAGCAATTCAATATATGATACAGGACTATTGGGCGGTCTGTAAACGACGCCAAATAAAGTAGAAATATTTCGATAACGGATTTCGCACCAAATGCTTTCGTGTTCCGGAATGTTTTCAAGCCTAATGATATCAACTTCTTTCTTTGCTATTATAGCTACGCCTCCACCACGTCCTTCACGATCCCGTCTTACTATTTTATGTGAGGGGGGTATAATTTCGGAATCAGTAATATTTGGTGACAGCCATGTCTCTGTAACCGCCAGTAGGTGAGGGTCGTAGAGGAGGAGAACTTCTTCTAATTGTTGGGATTTGTTAGCAATACTTCTTCCGTTCAGCACACTTATCCGAAGCGTTTTAAACTCGTTTCAAGAAGATGCCTGAGCAGAGTTGGATTGGCGAACTTGTTTCGGACGGAAATTTGTAGAGTGAACCTGTTTTGGGCACGAGTTAACATCGTCCCAAATATAAACCGTGTCATCCACCCGAAGGCGGTCGTAGTCCAGAGTCACTTTGCGGCCCTGGGCTTTGAACTCTTTGCCATGTTGCCACAATTTTGACCGCTTGTTAAGTGTAGCTCTGCAGTAATCGTGACTAATTGATATATTTGAACCTTTTAGTTTAGGACAACTCTGCAAAACATGCATTTTCTCGTTGTAGTCAAAAAAATTTAGCATGACGGGTCTTGTCTTATCGGCTCTTTTTACGCCGATCCTGTGCACTCTTTCTACTGATTGTACTGTAACACCCAATTTAGTGTAAAAAATATCTTCCAACACATGCTGCTTTAAACGAGCAGGGATTTCGCCTTCCGTTTCTGGGAGGCCAAAGATTACTAGGTTTCGGCGGCGACTTCTATCTTCAAAATCTTCCATTTTCTGCTGTTGCTCAGTAATTATTTTCTTAAGAGACGAGACTTCTGACTTTAAGTGATTAATTTCTTCGGTATGCTGGGTTAAGACTTTAAGCGAGTCGTTTAACTCAGCAAACCTAGTTTTTATTGTTTCTTCCATTGTGGACTGTTGCAAAGAAACTTTGTCGATTGAAGCCTGTAGAGCTGAACGCATTTCCTGAAGAAGTTGCTTAACCTCAGGACCGGGATTTCGCTCAACATCACCGGCAAGTAGAATCAGAACACTTAGAGCTTCATCAATCAGCGAAAAACACTTTGCCAGGCACGGCAGGACAATAATATTTCTATTATTACTACGAAAACATTTTCCATAGTTTCTACGAACCTGTGCGAGTAATAAGAAGGGGTTCATTGATGCGTCCGTGGTGGTCCCGCCGTGCCCTCTGAAGCCTTGAAGACCGTGCGTGGCTATATGCCCCGTTGAAGATGGCGCTGTTGTCGAAGCTTGGAAGGGTGGATGAGTCATCAAGCCACATCCCACTTCTGTTTCCACGTGGTCTTGCTCGGTGATGAACGCAGCGAACTTGCTTGGCGCATTGCACCGTGATGCACAATCAAGTGCAGTCCACAGCGTGACCTGTGCGAGTAATAAGAAGGGGTTCATTGATGCGTCCGTGGTGGTCCCGCCGTGCCCTCTGAAGCCTTGAAGACCGTGCGTGGCTATATGCCCCGTTGAAGATGGCGCTGTTGTCGAAGCTTGGAAGGGTGGATGAGTCATCAAGCCACATCCCACTTCTGTTTCCACGTGGTCTTGCTCGGTGATGAACGCAGCGAACTTGCTTGGCGCATTGCACCGTGATGCACAATCAAGTGCAGTCCACAGCGTGACCTGTGCGAGTAATAAGAAGGGGTTCATTGATGCGTCCGTGGTGGTCCCGCCGTGCCCTCTAATGGACTACACGGGTGGTATCTGTAGATTTGTTTATATCAACCCTAAAGTAATGTATAACAAACGTAAGCGAAGGTGTCTAGCTCGTTATTAGCCCCTTAAGCCCTAAAATTGAGATTTTACTTAAATCGAATTGTCCTGAAGCTAAAATACCAGAAGCTTTTCTCACGCAGACTGTCGCCCTTCACAGGTTCTGCATTTTCTGCTGCTAGTGCTGCATCTACCACTGGACAGACGTTCGAATGCTTGCTTTTACTCCTGTTTTCCTCTGATGTCAGAGAGTCCAGCTGTAGGAAGTTTCGAGGTTGAGGAAGCTTTTGGGGACCTGCAGCAGTGTCTCTTTTAATTGGAAATGACAATTCAGACTAAACGGTGTATTTTCGGAACAGGCTGGAATAAAGAATGTCAGGAAAAAGTATAAATATTCCACATATCATACAAACAACTGGGGGCAATTCGGCCGTTTTTGCTGCTACCATACAAACTAATTTCCAGTAATTGTGCAGCTTCTAAGAAATATGCCTGCATACGTGTATAAACTATATAATTAATTCACGAAGAAGCTACATTTATGTAAAACAACTCTGTTCCACGAGCACTTTCAAGATCATCAGACGCACGGCCTTTAAAACATCTGCGAACCAGCGCATGCAGAGTGGCAGCGCAGAGTCAGAGTCGCGAGCTAATTTTCCGACCACCCAAAGGCCCATGATATCAATGCCACTTCAAATGCCTTGAAAGCGGGATGTAATATCGTCTTAAATCATGAACGTGCAAGGAACAGAATTCCAGCGTCTGAAACGATTGCGGCACCGCTTCACCGACCCCTCGAAAGATTGCCTTGTGTCGTGTGGACGGACGGGGAGGTTCATCGGCGGAATTGCCTCCGCCGAAAGCTTTCGGGATTTGTAACCCAATTTTAAAGGTAAAAGGGACAAGCAGACTTATAAAATGTACGGAAGAACGCTAATATCGGCCTAACTCAACGTCTTGCACACCGGGTAAACGAAGTCCAGCTCCTCGAAGAGCTTGCTGCACTCAACGCCAAACCAGGAAACCGGTGCTGGGAAGTGAGCCGATGCGAGATCGCGGAGCGGAGTACTCCCCCTGACGTCACGGTACACCTCACCCAATGCGGGCGCGGCGACCGCAGCGACGCTTGTGCTCGCTCTCGGGGCTAATAGAGGAGGCTATGCTTTGACAGTCGTTTGTAGTTGTGTGTCAACTGTAGCTAATTATTGGGCCGTCTGCAAGTGCAGGGGCACTCTGCGGATGACGGGTATAAATGTCCCGAATAAAATATAGTCGCTGCGTTTGAAACATCTTGTGGTTGACAGCTCTTTGTAGCCTCCGTGTTGAGTTTTAGAGATGTTTTCCAGTGGCTATGGGAACCAATGGCCAAATACGGCTGTAGAATTACTTTTTGATACAAGCGCGTTTTATTCTTTTATCTAGCATACGTTTACACCCGGATATTATTAATTTATTTATTTTTACTATGAAACGCTACGAAATTGAACTCCGAATTTCGGAGAATTAGGAATCAAACTAAAACTCCGATAAACTCACAATGTTAAGCATAAAAAAAACACACACACACACAGCCCAAATTTGACGAAACATAAACTCAGAAGACAAGAAATCTTATCTATAAGGTAGTTTATCTCACAAGCGAGGCTTACCGCTTTTTGACGCGTAGGCCACAAGGAGCATAAGGAGAGGCGCGTATTCCATCTTGACCGTTGCCAACTGAGAGCAACGCGGAAACTATCCTGTTTTTCCCAAAGGATTCTTTAACGTTAGGGGCACGCGAGACTTCCTCCTGGAATGCAAACTATACAGAAAAGCCACCGATTACAAAATACCCGGCTAAGCACTTCCACTGATACAGGCTCGGAGGCCAGACAATGCATTTTTTTTTTTTTTTTTTACATAATGACGACACCAAGTGAAGAAAGCTCGAAGTGCGATTAGCGCCCAGAAAAGGAAGTTGCACTACCTTTCCCCCCTCCTCCGCGACTCAGATGATTAGCGGATGAGGCGGGAGAGGTAGCACAACTTTCATCTTGAGACCCATGCGTAGTTCGTGCCTTCACCGCTGCGTGAGGGTGGCCTGCGCGTGCGAATAACTTGTTTTTAGAAAGGTTAATTGATTGTCACGTTAAATTAACTACCCGACTACAAACGTCTGGTGTGAAACTGTCACGCCTTAAAAGGTCAGGTATTTCGATGACGGATTGTTCATATACACTGGGATACATACAACGAAAACGTGATCTCCTTGGGTATTTGCCACAGCCCATTCGCCATTGACTGGCCGTGTGATATATATACAGGATGTTTCAGAAAACGCAGGTCAAATCGCTCCTGCCAAAACTAAGCATCGCACAGAAGAGAGGTTGATGCCGTGTTGGTGTCTGCACAAGAGCAGATTTGGAAAAAAATAATAACGTTTAGAAAAAATAGTTTTTTTTTAATTTTTAGAAAGTAACTTTTTATTGGTTCATTTGAAGGCCACAGTTTCAGTTAGAAACTTAATGGGCATCACCAATAACCCCTATATCAACCCTCTTTAGACAAGTGTAAAGCATGCCGAGCATTTTACCATGTTTTCGAAAACCCTTCCATTCAGACGCGTACTCTGGTCTTGGATTCTTATCCAAGCGCATCTTGGCGGCAGCTGCCCTGCCCTCCGACGGTCAAAAGTCGAAGCTCAATCTTGCAATGTCATGCTCTTTCGAACAGCGAGGCCTTCCTTATCACCTGGCCACGCGCGCGCACTACGCGGGCTACACTTCTTTGTTTTCTACGAGAGAAGGAAGGAAGCCGTGGCGGGCGGGCGTGCGAGAATGGCCAGTTGTCTGGCCTTGGTTCCGCGTTTCGGCCATAATCAGCAGAGAAAAGAGCGCTGCAATTCAGGACAGGCCGGCGCTTGTCCGGCAGTCATCGAAACTGGTGTTGAGGAGTGACTGTCCCTTAATTGGTAATCTTCAGAAAATTCTGGAAGAGTCTTGTTGTCTTAGGAAGAACTAAAATGCTTCAGTATGAGCCTTTTAGAAGCGCGTGTTTGCCGTCTAAAAGTGCACGTCACTTCTTAGAGGATCCGAGGTTCCTCAGCGCTGCATGTGTTCCCGTACCCACTGAACTTGCGGAGAGACCGACTTTTGAACTGCGGCGAAGAACGCAACGACGCGTGATCTTGAGTTCAAGTTCGTGAGTAAAGAATTTCTCAAGTCTGCATCTGGTAGTTCTTAATCACCGCGCACGTCAGACTTTCCGAGAACCGGAAACAGAGAGGTTATTAGATTATGCTACACCCGTATGGCGGGCTATCCTTGCCTGGCTGCCTTGCCGTGTTATCCTCTGACTTTTTCCGCCTTTATAAGCAGAGATGCGTGGTTTTTGTCCGTCTTATCTTGTTCCCTATGGTGTCGATGCTCTCTTCAACAAATTTGATACTCCGTTTTCGCCTTACCTGGAAAAAAAAAAAGATGCGGCCCTGACGTGGCAATTAAAGCCTCCGAATAAAAGCTTTGTTATTGTCACCGAGTGGGGGAAATTAATAAATATAACATAATACGTTTTAAAAACGATAAATTACATAAAAAGAAAGATATGCCAGATTCGGATTGGTGATAAGCGATAGGTACACGCCCGGTGTGAAGTCAACAGAGATGCGACGGAACGCAGAGGTTGAAGTAAAAGCAGAAATTTAATTAAGTAATAAAAGGCCCCGCAGGGCGGCAAAATAAAAAAAAAGCTAACAAACAAAACGCTAAGAAGCGTTCACTACAAAGCATACCGACGTACCTTCAGGCAGCATGGCCACGAAGATACAAACAGGCCTTTTGACTTTCCACCTTCTTTCTTCTGGCCCATTATATGATATGCTGTTAGTAAAATCCCAATCCAAATTCATTTATTCCAGTACAAAATTCGTTTCATAGCGCCTTTAAGGATCACTGAGCCCATGACCCCAAGGTTTCGAGCGCGACGCTGAACCAGTGTACCAAGGGGAAATCTTGCGAAGCGATAATTATTATGCGTCATGCTTCTCTCCTTAATGCGCCCAAGCGCAGGTATGAAGGCGAGAGCCTAGATGAATGTGCCGCAGTTGCCCAGTACCTTTTGCAAAAGGAAGGAGCGGACTGAAGAGTAAACAGCTGAACAAAAGCGGTTACGTGCTGAAATGTCCATCTTTATTGAATGAAAATGTGCGGACATCTGATGCTCATTGTTTCCACCAATTACGTTCGTCGCAATTTAATCAGTGGCAAAATGGCTTCACAGGAGACCAGCAATGCGTATTTCGACGTAGTCGTCACCGAAACACCGCAGAATCACAAGCTCGTTTTTAGTCTTGCGAACAATGCGAATACATTTTGGTATTCCAAATGTTCATTGTCCAAGTAGGTACGTCAAGTAGGTATACCCAGAGGTCGGCATTTTAGGTCGCCCTCACTCACCCTCACCCTCACAGCCACACTCACCTGAGCCCCTCACTCACCCTCACCCTCACAGCTACACTCACCTTTAGCCCCTCACTCACCCTCACAGTCACACTCACCTTCAGCCCTTCACTGACCCTCACTGAACCTCACAGCCCTCACGCCCCTCACACACTCATGGCCCTCACGCCCGTCACGCACTCACCGCCCTCACGGCCCTCACGCCCCTCACGCCCCTCGCGCCCGTCACGCACTCATGGCCCTCACGCCAGTCACCGCCCTCACGCCGCTCACTCACTCATGGCCCTCACGCCCGTCACGCACTCACCGCCCTCACGGCCCTCACGCCCCTCACGCCCCTCATGCCCGTCACGCACTCATGGCCCTCACGCCACTCACCGCCCTCACGCCGCTCACTCACTCATGGCCCTCACGCCCCTCACCGCCCTCACGGCCCTCACGCACTCATAGCCCTCACGCCACTCACCGCCCTCACGCCCCTCACTCAGTCATGGCCCTCACGCCCGTCACGCACTCACCGCCCTCACGGCCCTCACGCCCCTCACGCCCCTCGCGCCCGTCACGCACTCATGGCCCTCACGCCACTCACCGCCCTCACGCCCCTCACACACTCATGGCCCTCACGCCCGTCATGCACACACCGCCCTCACGGCCCTCACGCCCCTCACGCCCCTCACGCCCGTCACGCACTCATGGCCCTCACGCCACTCACCGCCCTCACGCCGCTCACTCACTCATGGCCCTCACGCCCCTCACCGCCCTCACGGCCCTCACGCACTCATAGCCCTCACGCCACTCACCGCCCTCACGCCCCTCACTCAGTCATGGCCCTCACGCCCCTCACGGCCCTCACGCACTCATAGCCCTCACGCCACTCACCGCCCTCACACCCCTCACGCACTCATTGCCCTCACGCACTCATGGCCCTCACGCCACTCACCGCCCTCACGCCCCTCACACACTCACCGCCCTCGGGCCCTCACCGCCCTCACTGCCCTCACGCACTCATGGCCCTCGCGCCACTCAGGACAGCTTCAGATGGGGCAATTTCGCCCAGAAACTTGACGTCGCAACACCAGCAACACAGGCCGCCCGCGATCACACGCAGCATCCAATAGCTGCAATTCGCCATCACCATCATAAAATTTTATTTTCCTTGCACTATTTAGACACAATTACGCGTTACAAACGTGTTTTATGCATTTCAATCTCGTTGAGGACACTAATGTGCCATTCCGAAACAGTTTATTTCCAAAACCGATCGATTTCAAACCAGAACAAAGTCTTTCGGTGTCATCACCTGCGGCACGAGGTATCATGTGAAAATTTTGCGTCCCTGATTGGATGCAGCCGCTTCAAACGTCATCGAATTGTTCCGAGTTGCTTGATTATTTCGAGCCGGACCCCATCTCAGCAATTCGTGTCGATCTAGGGAAAGCTAGAGAACAACCCGCCATCAACACCAAAATTGCTGAAAAAGATGCTCCGTCTGAAAGGGGCCTCACGCACTCACCGCCCTCACGCCCCTCACGCACTCATGGCCCTCACACCCCTCATGCACTCACCGCCCTCATGGCCCTCACGCCCCTCACGCCTCTCATGCCACTCACTGCCCTCACGCACTCATGGCCCTCACACCCCTCACCGCCCTCACACCTTTCACGCACTCATGACCCTCACGCCACTCACCGCCCTCACGCCCCTCACGCACTCATGGCCCTCATACCCCTCACCGCCCTCACGGCCCTCACGCACTCACTGCCCTCACCGCCCTCACACCCCTCACGCACTCATGGCCCTCACGCCACTAACCGGCGTCACGACTCGCACGCACTCATGACCCTCATACCCCTCACCGCCCTCACGACCCTCAGGCACTCATGGCCTTCACCGCCCTCACAGCCTTCACGGCCCTCACGGCTCTCACTCACCCTCAAACTCATGAATTTTCCTGGTTCAAAAACTCACTCACCCTCACCTCACCTGTGAAGATGAGGGTGAGTGAGGGTGAGTGAGGGCCCTCATGAGTGAGGTTTGCCGAGGTATGGGTATACCACACTAAGACTTTTCGCCGCTGCATTTTATTCGCCAGCAAATTAACTAAGAAGAACCAATTTCGTGCGTATTTCTTCACATCGATGGTGTGCTGCGCTGCGTAGTTACGCTGCGTAACTACGCAGCGCAGCACACCATCAATGTCAAACCAACTAGCCCAACTCCATGCATTATTAGTTCTTCACATTGCCCTTGTTTAAGGTCACTCCTGTCCGAACTGACAGTGATGTGCTGTTGTTGTTTGCATTGTTTTCCTATCGTAAGCAACGACTGCAAGTCGCACTTGCTTCAAACATATTTTGAGAGAACACCCGGA